TTTTTTTTTTTTTTTTTTTTTTTTCATTTTTTATTCCTATCAACCAAAAAAAAACGTCCCTTTCAACAGTACTAGTCATCGAGTAGCGAGAAATTATTGGAGGTGTAGCTGACTGTTCTACGCCATTAGATGTACAAGTGAGAAACTGGAACAGTGTTTTGGTTTTTGTAAATGGCATTGTGAAATGTTTTCAATTTTGTGTCTAATAGATTTCTAAACTTTTAACATAGGTTTGATTTGGGAGTGAGGCGAGCGTTGATTACCTCTCCTGATTGTGGCTTGTATCTTAGGTCAAATTTCACCCATAACACACGGAACGGGTTCTTGTGTCGTGTTGTTGTTGAATTATTATGTTTTTGGGTTTGAAGGGGTTGCATTGTTTTTGAATTAGATGAAATTATTAGGAGTGTAAAAAAGAACAAAACACCAATCTTTATCACAGGCTGAAGAGTGCAGAGACTACTGGTTATGGGTTGGGCGGTACCGCCGCACCGGGGACCGACCTCAGCCGTAGCCGGCCAGCCAGCTAACCTCACTCTTATCCATCCCTTTCCATTCTCTCTCTCTTTCACCCTTTTTTTCATTCCAAACAACACTTGAAAATGACCTCTCCTTGTTTTCTGTCTTCTTGATTTTCTAAACCAAAAATGAACGTGAAAGAGAGAGAGTGTGTGTTTGATGGGGTATAACCTTAGCTTGTAGAACCGGGGTTTGTTCGGGATTGTTGGGATAGGAGTTTCACGTCGGCTAATTAAGGGATTGATCGTGAGTTTGTAAGTAAGGAATACATCTCCATTGGTATGAGGTTTTTCGAGAAAACCAAAAGTAAAATCACGAGAGCTCATGCTTAAAGTGGACAATATCATAGCACTGTAGAGGTTTTTGATTTCTAACATGATATCAGAGTCATGCTCGTGTACTTTGTTCAATAGGAGAGCTTATACTCAAAGTAGACAATATCATACCATTGTGGAGGTTCGTGTTTTCTAACATGATATCAGAGTCATGCCCATTTACTACATTCGATGGGAGAGCTTATACTCAAAGTAGACAATATCATACCATTGTGGAGGTTCGTGTTTTCTAATATGATATCAGAGTCATGCCCATATACTACATTCGATGGGAGAGCTTATACTCAAAGTAGACAATATCATACCATTGTGGAAGTTCGTGTTTTCTCACATGATATCAGAGTCATGCTCGTGTTACTTTATTCAATAGGAGAGCTTATACTCAAAGTGGACAATATCAAACCATTGTGAAGATTCGTGATTTCTAACATGGTATTAGAGTCATGTCTGTGTACTTTATTAGATGGGAAGATTATTGCTCAAAGTGGACAATATTATACCACTATAGAGGTTCGTGGACAATATCACACCATCGTGGATGCTCGTAAAAAGTTGAGAATATGAGCATGTTTGGTGAAATAGAATGACTGAACCAATCATGCATGCCAGTGAAACAGCACAGACATCGCCACAAAGAGACGACTTTACTTTATCCTTACAAATTACTTTACTTTGCCCGTGAACGACTTCAATTTTTCTTTTGTTTTTTTATGTTCTTTTTACAACAAATGAAAAGCTTCATCATTTCATTAGCTTAACCCTAATATCAAACATAGATTACAAATTTAACATCATTTTCCTTCTGGGATTTGTTCCATAAAAGTTTCACCTTGACTAATTTAGAAAATGATCCTAGGTTTGTAACGAGACTTTCTAGAAAAGTCCAAAACAAAGCTACGAAGGCCTATGCTCTGAGAGTCGTGTTCATCCTACAGGGTTCTCGTAAAAATCAAAACTTTATAAAGTTATTGCAATTCAATTATTAGAGGAACATGTTTTTCTATTGTTTTCTTTAAATTTTCAACCAAATGAACATAACAACGAAAATGACACCCATCTTTGTTGCATACCAATCTCTCTCTCTCCTCTCTTTCTCTCTCTACTCTTTTTTTTTTTTTAAATGATTTTAAGTATTTATTTTGAAAAAAGGAAATGGGTCTTTTTTCTTTATTGTTTTTGTACTGAAAGCTTCTTGGTTTTTAGGCTTTTAGCAGAAGGCAGCAGGAAAGTTTGTTGACAACATTCAAGAGCCAGTGGTACTCTACAAGGTTTTTTCTTTTTGTGTGTTCATATAATCCCACCTGCGGAATTTCACTTATTTTCTGTTCTTCAATTTATTAATATATTTTTCATTATTTTTTGTTATGAATTAGGGTTTCAGTTTAATTTAATGAAGTGAAAGAGGATGATGAAGAAAGGAAATTTAACGGCGGAGGAACATTCGCCGCCACCGCCACCGCCACCGTCGAAGAAGAAGCGAAATCTTCCCGGGAATCCAGGTTTCGTTTTTGTTAAGAATATGAATGAATGATTCGTGTTCGTAGTGAGAGATCTTATGTTCGAACTTTTTATTCGATTTTGAGTCAGACCCAGATGCTGAAGTGATCGCTTTGTCACCAAAAGCGCTTTTGACGACGAATAGATTCGTATGTGAGATTTGCAACAAAGGGTTTCAAAGAGATCAAAATCTTCAACTTCATAGAAGAGGGCATAATCTTCCATGGAAGCTAAAACAAAGAAGCAATAAGGAAGTTAGGAAGAAGGTTTACGTGTGTCCCGAGCTGACTTGCGTGCACCATCACCCGTCGAGGGCTCTCGGTGATCTTACCGGAATCAAGAAGCATTTTTGTCGGAAGCACGGTGAGAAGAAATGGAAGTGTGAAAAATGTTCGAAGAGATATGCTGTTCAATCTGACTGGAAAGCTCACTCCAAGATTTGTGGTACTCGAGAGTATAGATGTGATTGTGGAACCCTCTTCTCCAGGTAACACGAGAAAACGTTATTAATATCTTATCCACTGAACTATACTGCGTGCCTTCGTTTTATGTCAAGAACATAGACAAAAACACGAGAGACAAAGATTTGTTGTTTTTATGTTTGGATTATTGTTTTTTTTTTTTGTTAGGAGGGACAGTTTCATAACCCATAGAGCCTTTTGCGATGCGTTGGCTCAAGAAAGTACCAATTTTGCATCATCAGCCATGAACAATAGCAACCCAATTCAACCAATTTTCTCAACACTGCGCCAATTCCCACTCAAAACTGAAAACCAAGACCCTTTTTATCCTTCAACTTCCAACATCCTCAATCCCTTTAACCCTAACCATAACCCTAACCCTACTTCGATCGGATTCGGGTTAGCCGGTCCTGGTTCGAGTCTTAATCCAGTGTTTGGTTCTGCATGGGAAATGAACTCTCCAAACATGATGGCTTTTGAAGAACCATCCTTTGAAGAAGCTCTAAATGGGATATTGATGAATAATCGAGCTAATAAAGACGGCGACAAATGCAGCGGCGGTGGCGGTGGCAGTGGCGGTGGCGCGGAGGAGATAACGAGAGATTTATTGGGGTTGAGAGCGTTGGCTCGACAGCCCGATCAACGTATGTTTGAGAATGAGATAGTAAACGACAGTCTGAATTTGGGTTCTTCTTCTTCGATGTTTGGATTGCATTTGAATCATCCAACTCAGACTATGTTTTGGCGTGATTAATTAATTAATTAAGTTAATTAGGTCATCTTTTTTTTTATTATTATTAAAAGGGATTTTTGTTACTGTTTTGAAGAAAAGTGTATCAAAAGAGATAATCTTCGCTTTTGTATCAATTTCTCTAAGGATTAGTTTTTGTTAATAATAAAAAGATCATTAATTATGATCATCGTCAAGCCAGAACGACATTTTTGTATTTATTATTTATTTATTTTAATTTTTTTATCTATTAAAATTTATTATTGGAAGTGAGTTCCATTAGTTAATTTAGTGAAAAATTTAGTGAAAGATCATGACCAATACTATCTCCATTAGTACGAGGCTTTTTTTAGGGAACCCCAAAGCAAAGCCATGAAAACTTAAGCTTAAGAGGGACAATATCTTGTCAGTGTAGAAAGCACTGATTCTTAAGGCGGAGGAAACTTTTGGTCACCATTACGTTAAGTGTTTTTTTTTTTCTTTTAAAAACTTTTGTTATCAAATAAGACATAAGTGCTAAAAAAAATAACTGATTTATAAATATTTTTACAATATCATAAAATTTTTAATTTAATAAAAATATTTTGACTTTATTTTTTTTCAATATATGATTATGCATTTAAAATTTCAAATGAGAGCGGAAAAAAATATTATATTTATAAATATTTTTTAAAATATGATTATGCATTTTAAAAGTTTTAAAAATTTTACATATTTCAAAATAAATTACCTATTTTTATACCATGATTAAAACAATGACATCTAAAATATTTTCGAGTGAGACGAAAATAATATATTTAAAAATTTTAAAAATAAAATAGAATATTTAAAAGTCTAAATACGAAATATTAAAAAATTAATTTAATATATACACAAAAAAAGATTTTGGTATATATGCATATTTACTCAACACAAAATTTAATATATATTTTTTTAGGAGGAATAAAATTTTAAGGTAGAAAGTTATTAAATTTAACCGGTAATTAAACCTCTACCGAAAGACTACCGGACGATAGGTCGTCTGGCTGTACATCATTTAGGGCGAAACCACTGGTGCGACAAATCGTTTTAGTAAATGGGCTTTTTTTGTTGCAAGAAAAGAATAGGCCCAATAAAAGAAACAAAAGCCCAAATACGGCCAAAAGGCCCGATTATAGTACGGGCCGACTATTGGGCTGGGGGAAGGAGGAGGTCGGCAAAGCAAATTGCGGACGATAAGTCGTCTGGCTGTACATCGTCTAGGGCGAAACCACCGGTGCGACAAATCGTTTTAGTAAATGGGCTTTTATTTGTTGCAAGAAAAGAATAGGCCCAATAAAAGAAACAAAAGCCCAAATTGGGCCCAAATGCACGATTATAGTACAGGCCGACTATTGGGCTGGGGGAAGGAGGAGGTTGGCGAAGCAAATTGCGGACGATAAGTCGTCTGGCTGTACATCGTTTAGGGCGAAACCACCACGACAGATCGTTTTAGTAAATGGGCTTTTTTTGTTGCAAGAAAAGAATAGGCCCAATAAGAAACAAAAGCCCAAATTCGGCCCAAAGTCCCGATTATAGTACGGGCCGACTATTGGGCTGGGGGAAGGAGGAGGTCGGCAAAGCAAATTGCGGACGATAAGTCGTCTGGCTGTACATCGTCTAGGGCGAAACCACCGGTGCGACAAATCGTTTTAGTAAATGGGCTTTTTTTTGTTGCAAGAAAAGAATAGGCCCAATAAAAGAAACAAAAGCCCAAATTGGGCCCAAATGCACGATTATAGTACAGGCCGACTATTGGGCTGGGGGAAGGAGGAGGTTGGCGAAGCAAATTGCGGACGATAAGTCGTCTGGCTGTACATCGTCTAGGGCGAAACCACCGGTGCGACAAATCGTTTTAGTAAATGGGCTTTTATTTGTTGCAAGAAAAGAATAGGCCCAATAAAAGAAACAAAAGCCCAAATTGGGCCCAAATGCACGATTATAGTACAGGCCGACTATTGGGCTGGGGGAAGGAGGAGGTTGGCGAAGCAAATTGCGGACGATAAGTCGTCTGGCTGTACATCGTTTAGGGCGAAACCACCAGTGCGACAGATCGTTTTAGTAAATGGGCTTTTTTGTTGCAAGAAAAGAATAGGCCCAATAACAGAAACAAAAGCCCAAATAAGGCCCAAAGGCCCAATTATAGTACGGGCCGACTATTGGGCTGGGGGAAGGAGGAGGTCGGCGAAGCAAATTGATGGGGATGGGAAAAAATCTTGGAGGTTGAAAGGGTTAGGTCTGGATGATCGGATTCGTAGAAATAAACGAGTCAAGGCAGAGGGGCAAAACGGGAATTTAAAATATTTGATATTGCCCTGTAATGGTCAGGAAGCGTTGCGACAATCGCAGAACCCATCTGACTGGAGTAGATTCTCCTCCCTAACCTCTTCGTCACCTTCATTTATCTCAATCTCCATTCCCTTTCTTTCCGCCCCTAATTTCTTCAACCCCGAAACGAACCTTTCTTCTCCGGCCTTGCGCGGCGCGTCCCAGTGTTGAGAATCGCGGAGATCTGTGCTTTTTCGTCGTCCGATAAGGAATGGCTTGGAGGCATCTTATCACCCGGGTGGGTTGCGTTCAATATTTCGCCTATTACTCTATCAGATCCTTCGTCTTTTTGATTGCAATCATGTGGGTCACCGCCGATATGGGTTCATTTTAGCTTAATCTTCTCATTCTGGGAACCCTAGCTTTTTTTTTTTTTTCTGAGAATGTTTTTGTTTTCAACGATGTTACGCTATTGTTTGCGTGTATGGAGATGTCATAAATTCTTGTGTTTTGTTATGAGATTTGTGTTCTTACCTTACTCGATCCATGTCTGGTCCTAGGGCGGCAGCTTATTTTAATTTCCTCGCTGGTAGCTTCTAGGGTTACCCAATAGGTTGGCGTTGTGGTAAAACGAGTGTTTATGCTTCTAGCTTGGCGATATGGGACTTAGGGATGTGTTTTTATGCTGCAGGTTTCGAGGAATAATTTGGAATTCGGACAGTTAAAGAATGCGTTGATTAATGCATATTATCCCGTCAATAAGGGCGGAGTTGGTGGTGGAGGTCAGTTTGTTTCTGCTTTTGGTCATCAATCTTCATGTGTTATTTGAGATGTCAAAATGTTTTTATTGTCCAGATGTCAATCTTCATGCGTGTGAAGTCAATCTTGCATGGTTTAAATCATCTGTATGTCTATTTTCTTATCCTCCTTCTTGCTCTGCAGTATATCAATTATTGACGTCTCAGAAGAGATATCAGTCCAGCTATGTCGGGAACCTAGCTCGAAGAGTGCGGGATGCAGATGAGGCCAGTGAAGTTGCTCATCTTAAAGAACTCTTCCGTCGAAACGATCCTGAAGCTGTCATAAGATTATTTGAAACTCAGCCATCGTTGCACCACAATGCTACTGCCCTTTCTGAATATGTTAAAGCATTGGTGAAAGTTGACAGGCTGGATGAAAGTGAACTACTTAAGACATTGCAGAGAGGTGGTTTTAACACATTTGTTTTGTTTTAGTTTTATTGTTTCCATTTAATATCTGTGTTTATCTTACGTTCGCTTTTCCAATGGTTCACAAATTTTACATTTTAGGGTGGTATCAAGAAGCTTCATCGTTGTGCGAATGCTGAATGAAATTGCTTATGCACGTCCCCCCCACCCCCCACTCCGTCTCAAAAAGATGTGAACTTTCGAGTGACGTATGAGTCTTTAACTAACATGCACTTGGCTTATTTTTGTAGGCATTTTAAATGCATCTAGGGGAGAGGGAAGCATTGGTAGCATAGCGGCTTTCAGTAATGTTGGTAAACAGTCAAAAGACGGTATTCTTGGAACCTCAAGTGCTCCCATCCATATGGTGGCGTCTGAAGGGGGGCAATTTAAGGAGCAGCTCTGGCGTACAATTCGCACTATTGCACTGGCTTTTCTATTGATTTCTGGTGTAGGAGCACTCATTGAGGATAGAGGAATTAGCAAAGGTTGGTTTCTCTGTTCTTGAACGGATGTATTATAGAAATATGTATTGGAATCAGGGAAATAATATCTTCTTTGATCATCTTAACTATATAGGTCTGGGTTTGAATGAAGAAGTGCAACCTAGCATGGAATCTAATACAAAATTCAATGATGTCAAGGGTGTGGATGAGGCCAAGGCAGAGCTTGAAGAAATTGTTCACTACCTTCGAGATCCCAAGGTAAATTTACGTCTTCAGATTATAATTTTATAGGCGTGTCCCTTTTCTTGTGACTGCATTATCACCAGCTGAGTTTGATGTTTTATTCTATTCGTCATTTAATTTATATCAATATCCATCATTTCGAGCTAGTTCTCGCGATGCTCTAAATACTAGGCAATACCCTCCGGTTCTCACCTCCTTCAGCAGTTAATTTTTTTAATCTTATTTTAATTGATTACCCTATAGCGGTTCACTCGTTTGGGCGGCAAACTCCCAAAAGGTGTTCTACTTGTTGGTCCACCTGGAACTGGCAAGACAATGTTAGCAAGAGCAATTGCTGGAGAAGCTGGGGTACCATTCTTCTCCTGCAGTGGCAGTGAGTTTGAAGAGATGTTTGTTGGTGTTGGGGCTAGAAGAGTGAGGGATTTATTTTCAGCTGCAAAGAAGAGGTCACCATGTATTATTTTCATTGACGAGATTGATGCCATTGGTGGAAGCCGTAATCCCAAGGACCAACAGTACATGAAAATGACTCTTAACCAGTTACTCGTTGAACTTGATGGTTTCAAGCAAAATGAAGGAATAATTGTCATTGCAGCAACCAACTTTCCAGAGTCTTTGGACAAGGCATTAGTAAGACCGGGTCGATTTGATCGGCATATTGTTGTACCTAACCCAGATGTTGAAGGACGAAGGCAGATCCTGGAGTCACATATGTCCAAGGTAGAATTTTCTTCGTTCCTAACTACTACTTTGGTTGTAGAACCTGTGTGTCTCAACCATGTCTGCCAGTGCTGAGTCATACTGAACTAGTAATGTAGTCGTATTGCATGCTGTAGTGATGGTAAGGTACAATAGTCATGCTTCATGCTGCTTTATGGCTTACGCCTCTACCCTTTTCCAATATGAGGACGTGCATTGATTTTTATTCATGTCTTAGATATTATCTGATGATATTTTGACCATGATCTCAATCTCGTCTTATTATGCGTCAATAGTTTAATTTATGCTATACCAATTTTCTGTATTTTTTAGCTAGGCATGAACCTTGTCCTCAAGGACACACTTGTACAACTTTATAGAACAGATACTGCTCAAGTAAGGTTGTAATCTGAACCTCTTAACATCAAATATTGTTCTGAGATCGAACTTCTGTCCTTGGTTAGGTTTTGCAGTTGGAAACCTATTTTGTCATAATTTTTTGTTCATTTAAATCTTAGCAACATTTTAGCCAGCTAGGGCCATCCAGTATTTTAGTTCCAGGTTTGCTTTTTATGCACAGTAATTATGATTATGACATTACTTCTACAGATATTGAAGGCAGATGACGTCGATATGATGATCATTGCTAGAGGAACTCCTGGTTTTTCTGGTGCTGATCTTGCAAATTTAGTCAACATAGCTGCTTTAAAGGCTGCAATGGATGGTGCTAAAGCAGTGAGCATGGATGATCTGGAATTTGCAAAGGACAAGATTATGATGGGAAGTGAGCGCAAGTCTGCTGTCATTTCTGATGAGTCGCGAAAATTGACTGCATTCCATGAGGGTGGGCATGCCCTTGTGGCAATTCACACCGATGGAGCGCTTCCAGTTCATAAGGCCACAATTGTTCCAAGAGGAATGGCTCTTGGCATGGTTGCACAATTGCCCGATAAGGATGAGACTAGTGTCTCCCGGAAACAGATGCTTGCCCGTCTCGATGTTTGCATGGGAGGGCGAGTTGCAGAAGAGCTCATTTTTGGAGAAAATGAAGTTACTTCTGGTGCCTCATCTGATTTGCAACAAGCAACTTCTCTTGCTAGAGCTATGGTTACCAAGTATGGAATGAGCAAAGAAGTTGGGCTTGTCGCTCACAATTATGACGACAATGGGAAAAGCATGAGCACAGAAACAAGGCTTCTTATTGAAAAGGAAGTGAAGAACTTCTTAGGAGCGGCGTATGCCAATGCAAAAACAATTCTTACCACCCATAACAAGGAGCTCCATGCCCTTGCAAATGCTTTGCTCGAGCATGAAACACTCTCTGGTAGTCAGATTATGGCTCTTCTTGCACAAGTAAACTCTCAGCAGCAGCAGCATCAACAACAACATCAACAATTAGTTTCCACTCAGAGTAGCTCGCAGTCCAACCCTGTGCCACCCTCAGCACCAAACCCTGCTGCATCTGCGGCCGCCGCAGCCGCGGCCGCAGCGGCAACTGCTGCAGCCAAGGCTAAAGGCATTGCTCCTGTTGGATCTTAACAGTATGATCCCTTTCAGTTGCGCTCTTTTTTCCTATTCATTGTGAATATAGTAACTTCCCTGCTGCCTTGTTGTCTCTTTTTTGGGTGATTGTAGCTGCCACTAAGATTATGTATCACTATGCATCTAATTGTCGATTGCTAGCTGTAGAAGAGGTGAATGCAGTCAGTGTTAGCGGTTAGAGGAGTTCATTGTCTTTTCTTTATGCTTCTCTTCCATTGTTTCGATACTTAAAAAATAATTTTCTCACATACATACGTTGAAAAGTACTTATAAGGCTCCCATCTCAGTTGCTTCGTTGGTGCATGCATCTGCCTTTGATTTATTTCTGGATTCTCGATTCTTCTCAACTTTTAGTTCTTTTCTTTTAATAAAATCTTTTCTTATTCAGATACATTCCATCACATTTTTAATGATGTTCATTTCAAATAATCCTAGTTTCGAATAAGATAATATTTTAAACTATCTTTCCATTTGCAAATCACATAATTCTACAATGAACTTTCTTGATTTCTATACTGGGTTTACGCAAGACAGGGAAAATAAGCTAATGAGCTGCTCTTAAGGGTGTACAGATTTCTTCACTAGAATTTTCCCTCTTGCATGATCATCATCTATCAAGGACTTTTGAGCTGTGTTCCAGGTTGCCAAGGAGACTGATCTTTGACATAACCGTTGCGAGCTTCGTCTTCATCGTGCTAATCAAACAATGTATTTGATGTGGGTTTCCCGTGGAAAGTGTGGCGTCGGAGAATTGGATACTTAGTTTGATCTAGTCTGTCAAATGAATTGGACGGTTCACGCTTTAGTGAACTTGCTTCATAATCTATTGAAAATTTGGTAGGAATTATCAAGTAGTACTACGTCGTTCTCATCTCCAATCGATGTGGGATCAATGGATCAATGTGGGATCAATGTGGGATCTCTCAATCCACCCCTTTCAGGGCCCAGCGTCCTTGTTGACACTCGTTCCTCTCTTCAATTAACATGGGATCTCAAAATTTATTTCTTGATGTTGACATTCTCATCAGTATTTTGATGAAATTCGTGTGTCAATAAAAAAACAGAAGACAACTGGTGTAGTCATAAATATCAATAGATTCGATCAAATATAAAGAAATATCGACTCATATTGCTCTACTCACCCATATAACTTAGTATTCGTCCTGAAAATAAGGAAGGAAATTTAGATAATACTGATTGAAAGCTTTCATTAAGATGTATATCCTCCTGCCTACAAAAAGATGAGAGGGACAACAACTCCGTTAGCAGAAGCTGCGAGATACGGCTGCTATATAAATTAAGTACGTCGCTAGGCAGTGATAGTTCTTGGCTTGACTCCAATTTTTCTCCATGAAACACTTGGCATTATTTGTTTGGTGTCGACGCGATCCTTATACTTGATAGCAAAGTTGAGCAATGAATCAATAAGAGAATCTGACAGAAGGTGTGGTTTTAGACCCAACTCTACGAGTTTGGTGTGCTTGGCATTGTAGTAATGTTCCTCTGCCTCTACCCTTGGATTTGGCACAGATATGGTCTGGACATCTAACCCGAGCTTCTGTCCCGCTTTCGTGACAAGAGCAGCAAGTTCATTGACAGAAAACTGTTCTGTAAATTGATTGAAGACACGAAACTCTCCCGGGTTCGCTGGATTTGCAATGGCGAGTTCTACGCACTGCACTGTATCTCTTATGTCAAGATATCCTCGGGTCTGGAAACATGATCAGGAAAAACAGATATTAGTCAAGAAATGATATCAGAAGCTAAAATGAGCTCGAGTTAATAATAATTCTAATGGGAAACTAGTCATGTATCATTGTTAAATGAAAATTGCTTCAAAGAAAACTCTTCATCGCTGTGGATCATACCTGCCCGCCTTTGCCATATACAGTGAGTGGATGGCCAACAGCAGCCTGAACACAGAAACGGTTCAATGCAGTCCCAAACACCCCATCATAATCAAATCTGTTATACAGCTCTTCATGCATTGCGGTCTCGTCTGTTCGTAAGCCATAAACGACCCCTTGGTTTAAATCCGTAGCTCTGATCCCCCAAGCCTTGCAAGTAAAAGCTATATTGTGTGAATCATGAACCTTACTTAGATGATAGAAAGAACTTGCTTGCTTGGGGTAAGGTAGAGTATCTGTTCTTCCATTGTGGGTTATAGTAATGAAACCTTCTTCAATGTCAATATTGGGAGTCCCATATTCACCCATAGTCCCCAGCTTCACCAAATGACAGTCTTCTCTAAACTCCTTAATAGCAAAAAGCACATTGAGAGTTCCAATCACATTGTTGTGTTGAGTAAATACAGCTCTTGATCGATCAATCATGGAATATGGAGCAGAACGTTGCTCACCAAAATGGACAACAGCATCAGGTTCAAATGATTTAAAGGTTTCTGCTAAGAACTCAAAGTCACAAATATCACCAATGAAGAGTTCAATAGTCTGCCCAGTTAAAGATTTCCAGCAACGAATGCGATTATGGATGGAGGAAATAGGAGTCAATGAGTCCAGACCGAGCTGATGGTCAAAGAGACGGCGAACAAGGTTGTCGACAATGGCAACCTCATATCCTTTCTTGGAGAGGTGAAGAGCAGTAGCCCAACCGCAGTAACCATCTCCGCCAATGATCATCGCCCGCTTTGCCTTGGACGATCGATTTGACCCATCAAGAGATCCAGAGGTGGATTGAGTGGTGGGGGCTTCCTGGCTCGTTGGGAGTGTGGTAGCTCGGACAACACACTTTCTTGGCAGTCTCTTTTCATGCCAGACAAGCCTTGGCATTAGTGATTTACATGTTTTCGAAGTCAATGATGCAGAAAACAAGGTTAAACTCTCATTTGATGGTTTAAAGTAAGATTTCTTGCTGGAGGAGGAGATCTTCAAACAGCATGAAGTTGAAAGAACATGTGCCATATCAACGTTCACGCAATACTAATTCTCTTGAACCTGCAGAGACAATACTCAATCAGTCAAATAACAAATGTGAACCTGCAGAGACAATACTCAATCAGTCAAATAACAAATGGCTGCTACAATGGTACTTCAGTTAGGATTCTTGTTTCTTCAATAAACCCTCATAGAAAAAATATGTGAGAATGAAATCTCGGGATATTCGGTATCCCCACAGCCGCAGAAGCAAAAAAAAAAGCGCAACTTGTTCTTTCTCTTTGCATTCAAGGACTCGCATTCGTGGGGTATTCCGTAAGAATCAGAGTGATAAAACAACACTTCAACACAACACCAAATAGAATAACAAAAGGGATTTCTTCATGAACCAAAGAACCAAAAACTTCAGAGTCATGGACTGAGGGGTTCAGCAAAAATCTCAATTGGGGCATTTAGACAAACACCTAAGCTGCATAGCTGAAGTATGATGGAAAACAAGCATGACCCACAACAACAAAAACAAAAATACTCAAAACCCCATATCACAAATGAAGATTCATCCTCGAATTTTCCAGAACAATCATTTTCAGACGAAAAAAAACATTCGAGGGGAGGGTTTGGGAAAACCGCAATTCAATCAGACGGAAGAAATCTTCAGAAACGGTCACTTACGGCGGTGAAGCTGATCCAAATGTTGAGAACTGTGAATAATTTGGAGTAGGGAGGATTTGGTACTGAGAAGCAACACAACTTTTGGCTCGCTGTCTGGGAGGAGCTAGAATCTAAATCGTGGCTAAGAGCATATTCGGCTTATCCTGCCGTTCGCATATTCGACCTATTCCCTTATTAAATGTTATAATTTTATTTTTCAATTAAACATTATATTTTTTAAAATGTTTAAATATATAATTTCGTGTTTTTTTTTTAATCTCATATTTTATCTTTTAATTCTTTAAAAAAGTTTATTCTAAATTTAATATTTCTATGATCGAGTCCACACTATGCATACATAACATATGATATTCCGTGTATCTTCGAGCTCCATATCTATTTTTTTTAAACGAACATTATTTTTAAATATAAAATAATAATATGTGTATACATTTAAAATTTTACTAAATTACAAAATAACAATTTTTTAAAAATTTTACTATTTATGTAATTAAAAAAATTAAAAGGAAGATCTCGGAAGTTTAAGTTCAAAGTAGAGGGAAGCTATTATAGGTCATAAATCTGACACGTGAGGTTATTTATATATTCACTTAATAAGTAGATAAAAATTGGAAGAAATAAATGTATTAGGAAAATTTTAATATTTTAAATGTGAATTAATTTTAGTATAGGAAAATTTCAATCAATTTCATCCATTCGTTGTATTCACCAAAAGGTAAAAAGTAAAAAAGTAAAAAGTAGAAGAAAAAGAAAAGGCTAACTTTTTACTGACCAATCACTCCTCCTCACAAACCTCAAATTTTTTATCCTTTTTTTAATATCTCTAAAGAAAAAATACAAAAAATAGAAAAAACGGAGAATATATATATAATATTTGTTACCGACTAATTAGAGAGTGAATATCCAGATTTTAATCCGGAGATCAACTTTGCAGGCGGCGTCAAGAACAGAGGCCACTGTCGGCGATTTCCCCTTCGGCGGAGTTCCTTTGATTCCTTCACATGTTACTCTGATTCCCACTTTTTTGCTTTTCACTTTGCCGATTTTCACGTTCACTTTCGTGTCCATTTCGATCGTCAGAGGTGCGCCTCCTTTCTTCTTCAGATCCGATCTGAGGCTCGTAACGGAATCCGCGTCCAGATCTCTGGCGCCGGATATTAGGGCTCGGAATACCGTCTGGTTATTGGTGGCGCTGGTGAACGCTGGGATCGAACCATTGCCGAGGAGAACAGAATGGGATAAACAGGACAGAGTGAAGGGGTCGTATGAGAATGTGATGTGGGAATTAGGGTTAAAGGATGAGAGAGTGAGATTGAAGAGAGACGAGAGGTATGAAGCGGAGGAATCCGCGGCAATTGTGAGATTGAGCTTTGAAATTCGGAGGGAGGAGATTGTGAATTGAGGACGGTGAGGACGGTACAAGACGTAGAGCGCGGCGCCAGTAATTGCGGCTAGAAGCGCTAGCCCTAGGACAATGATGATAGTCCAAAAGCAGAAACAGCAGCAGAGATTGCGGCGGCTACGGTGGTGATTGTGGCGGTGGCGGTATGGTTGTTGACGGAATTGTGGTTTGGAAGATGAGGCTGGCGCGGCGCCGTTGACGGCGGGCTTGGAGGTAGGGTGAGCGGCGGCAGACATGGTAATTGAAGAAGAAGAAGAAGAAGAAGAAGAAATTGGTCGAATGCTTCTCTGCAATCGGAATCTATGAGTTGCTTGGATTAGTTC